TACAGTCTTATCAAAACAGAAGCACAGAACACAATATAATAAAATAACTACTTATATAAAATCTAACTACAAAAATGGGAAGAGGCTCCTTCAGTCACACTACAGAGGTCAAGGCCATGACCCACCCGCAAGGTAGGTCGAGGTCTTGACCTTGATGGGTCAAGGAGATCCTGCTGCGAAGTCAAGATAGATGGGAGGTGACCAAGAGATGGCCGCCGAGCCCTGAAATGGGGGTAGGATGGAGTCCAAGAGCCCAAACCGAGGGAGGCATAAAGTGGTGACTGAAGAGACCCCCATGAAGAAGGTAAGAAGAAAGGCTCGGCCCAGAGGACATAGTGATATGTCGGCCTGGGGGAGCGGGAACTGGAGGACAGGTGTCTGTCGGTCCAGGTGGAAAAGCGAGAAAGGAGAACAGTGTCCGACCCAGAGGACATAATGTCGGCCTGGGGGGTGGTAGCTGGTGGACAGGCATCTGTCGGCCCAGGTGAGAAAGTAGGTGCTGATCGGCCCAGCAGATGCAACTGGTACATCGGCCTGGGGGAGCAGACATGCAGAAAAACAAAAACAACAAAGCATAGGCAAAATGAATTGTGCACAATAAAAAAGGAAATCGAAATGCTAAACCTAAATGCACGCAGCAAAATGCCAGGTTTGACACTGGTGATTGGTATCGTTCGAAAAATCAGACAGAAGCAAGTGTCTTAAAAGCTGACTGGAGCAACTGTTCCGGTGTTCTGATGTATGTGCGGTAGCAGTTGCTCGACCATCTGCCCATTGTTTGAATAAGGTGGTCTGGAAGATGCACACTCGCTGCAGTAGTGGTTGCTCCAATGCGAAAAGAGTGTCCCGCGAAGAGGTGAGCTTTGAAGCCAAGTCTAGTGAGAAGAAACCGAAGCGAGTTGGTGAAGTGGGCACGGTCGAGTGGTATTCTTTCAGGAAGCATGAATAGTGGTTCGTGTGGTGCTGCCCCCATCTTGTGGTGAACTAAAAGGAAGCGATGTAGGGAAGAAACTGGACAAAAGGCAGAGCCAGTAGGATAGAGTCTAAGTTCAAATCCACGTCGGAACTGGTCAGTTTTTGATGATTTAATGGTCACAACCTGGGCATCGACTGAGCGTGAGTTACCTAGCGTCTTAATGTCCTTAACGCAGAGACCAACTTGTGGGTTGAAAGACTGTGATAACGAGGTAAATTCGCTACATCGTAGGAATCCGAAAAATGCCAACAGAAAAGCAGCTTCCATCAATAGGTCAAAGTAGGGCCCATATACGCCTGAACGGAGTAGCAAACACAGGCGTTTTAACAGGTCAAAGGTGATTGGCAGCCTTGGGCGTGTAGCAGAGCCTTGCAAACGGCGAATACCTCGCAGTACGTATTGGATGCGAGGTAGATTCAAACCTTGGCTAGTAACGAGCGGATTTGAGTGACCGCCAAGTAGATAATGATTGCGAATTCCTGCAAGGTAAACCTTGATGGTGCTGAATTTTAGATGCAAATACGTGACACAATGTGTGACGAAGTAAACCAAAATGTTTTCGGAGATAACCGGGTAAGTGGTTGACTGACCTGTGATCTTGAACATGGCTGCAAAACGCAACCATGTGCGTACACATGTGGCATAGGAACCAACTGTCCGTATTCCAAGTGATGCCCTTTGACATGTGTCCACTGCCTGGTTCAAGCGAACATCACGACTGAGGGAATCTGGCAAGGTATGGCTTGCGCTGATGGTGCTGCTTCTCTGAAACGTGTAGTCTGAAAACGAGAGAGAGCATCTACAATTATATTAGATTTACCAGGTATATGAACAGCAGAAAACATGAAGCTATGGGATGCAGCAGTAATCACCAAACGTCGCATTAGTTTCATAATGGATGGCGATTTAGAGTGGCCTTTATTGACGATGTGAACAGTAGCCATGTTGTCACAGTGGAACAGTATACGCTTCCCAGTTCATTGATGACCCCAAAGCAAAGCGGCTACAACGATGGGACATAGTTCCTGGAATGCGATAGACAGAGTCTTGTCATGATCGAGTCTAAGGTTTGTTGCCCATCTTTCGTGGAACCAGTATCCCCGGAAATACCCACCATGGCCGATACCACTGGCGTCTGTAAATAACTGCATATCTGGGGCAGGAGTGAGGTATCTGTCGAGGAATAGTGAAATGCCATTCCACCCAGATAGAAATTCCTTCCACATGCAAATGTCCTGTTTACTTTCAGATGAAATTCCGACGTGGTGGTGGAGTTTTTGAATGCCTTTCGAAATTTTGATAAGTCGTGAAATGAAAGTACGACCCAGAGGGACTACACGGCACGCGAAATTGAGGTGTCCAAGCAGACTCAATAGCTGGCGCTTGGTGCAGGATCTGCGTAGGAGAAATTCATCAAGCAAATCAAGAAGACAATTGAGCTTAACCAGTGGCAGACGGGCCTCCATCTTGATGGTATCAAGTTCAATACCAAGAAACTCCAAAGTAGTAGTAGGACCTACGGTCTTATGTGGGGCTAATGGGATTCCTAAGCGGCCAAAAATGAGCGTTAACAATGCCATTGTTCTTTCAGCATCATAGGATGGTGCATCGATTGTAAGGAAATCATCTAGTAGGTGCAGCATTTTGTTGATACCGTAGTAATGATGAGCGATCCAGCAAATGGCAGTTGAGAGTTGATCGAAAATTTTAGGACTGGAGCGAGACCCAAAAGCAAGGCGGACGAAAAAATAAAAATTGTCCTGCCAGTTGATGCCGTATAAATGCCAAAGTGACGGATGGATGGGCAGAAGCTTAAATGCATCAACGATGTCTGTTTTACAAGCCGTTACTGTTGTTCCGGCGAAAATAGAAGTGTAGAGCATGGGATCACGGCGTGACCAATCGACCTTTATATTATGGTTAAGAAGTAAGGCTGCAGCCCTGGCTGCGAATTGACGGTGATATTCGTAGTAGGCCAGACCCCCGAAACGACTTGACATGTCAACAATGTCGCGTTCATAAGCATCTAGTTCTTAGCGACGGGTCGGGTATACTTGGCACATCACGTTTTTGTAAACAGAAAATGCGATGATGAACTCTTGAATAGTAAGCGCCCTCGTTAATCTACTGTCCTGAAACGGTTTTAAAGTAAGAGCTTCGTCGCCGACGATAACATGACGTTGGTCGGAGTTATATGTATAACCAGGAATGAGCAAGCAAGCAAGATTTACGTCCTTACCTGCGATGATATCGCGATGTACAGCCGGTGAGACCAATTCAACGTGTTGGATCTGTTCTGACAAAGTTCCCTGACTATGAAGCAAACTGTTTTCGATGGACGATTCATGGGAGTGAATGTTCGAGTTGGCATATTGCGTTTGGTTAGAAATTAAATTGGATGGTTGCTCGCGTATAATCACACTTGCGCCATGTTGATGTTGTTGTCTGTGTGTCGCCAGGTCGTTGACGTGAGTACAGCAATGGTCGTGAGGGCGCTGTTGTTGCTGAGCATTTATGATGTTTGTAAGATTTGTAACTGCCGCTTGGAGTTCTGAAAACATCGCGGGAGTTATAACTGTGCCGCTGGTACTTGGTTGGTCATGTTGAGGTGAGGCCGAAACAACCACTCCAGGAGAAACGGGTAGGCAATCGGCGTTGTTAGCTTCCTGTACTGCAGGTCTATGTAGTACTGTAATGTCGTCGATGTTTCTTTGTTCCAAGACTATTTCATCAGGCGTCCGTGTTGTCGAGCGTGTCACTGGACGAGTATAAGGCTGGATACGTGGTGGGGCATTACTCCGTGGACGACGTCCTTTACCTCTTGGTGCCATTGTAAACGTATATTAGTAGTTGAAAGCCGAACAATTACGCCGAGTAGATGAAATAATGAGTTGTAAAAAGCAATTGATTGAAAACAAAACGATGCTCACTAAGCGTGGCTAAATACATGAATGACTAAGACAAAGGCACACAAAAGAAAGAAATTAGCAAGGGACGCTAGGGGATGTGTGCAAAAAGACATTGATTGGTCCGCAAAAAACAAAGCTGTGGTAGGTAAACAAAGCTGTGATAGGTCAAA